CCATTTACCTGAAGCCATCTCAGTGATGCAGCAGCCTTACTTCTAGGTGGCGTGAGGAGATTTTACCACCGGGATGTCTTTTTTCCCTCAACTTGCGGTATGTCCTGGCACTAAGTTATGTGCAACAGGGACTACCAAATAAGGGTCATTATGTGTCACTCGGACATCGTCCGTATATTGCTGGTCCACAAACATCGCACCCTTAGGAGGGCGAGAAGATGAATGGAAAAAACTCCCACCGCCGCTGCCACCTAGTCACGTTTTCTCCTCCTGTGTTTCTGAGATTGACTCTAGGAGGCCTATTTCATCGGTTTCTCCCCAGCTAATCGGAGTTCGCCGCCTAGAAAAATTAAACTATTGATGGGCGAGGTCTGTAGCAACTAAGTAAGTTTATGGTCCGACTCCGGAATATGGGGTCGCCACTATAGTTTGTCACGATAGAGCGGGGGGTTTGATTCGGAATAAAAGGGTATCAGTTTTCGCCATGGCGAGGCCAATTGTTTGGATTCCTCTGTTGACCAGCCCCTGGGGTCCAGCGGGGGCGGCCACTGCGGGGTCCGCGGCGAGTTATATAAACTATAGCTAGTATTCTCCGTCACGTACCCCTCATACCGTTCCGTGTTTTGCTCATGTACTCTTGTGGAATTTTGTGAGCCTCCTCGGGGATTGCACTCTGAGATTCTAGTATAATTAGAATCCATCGCCTCATATCTCAGCATACCTTCAACTAAAGGCGGGAGGAATGACAGGAAGCCAAGATCTGTCTATGCTTATTGACGGATAGTGGTGGCGGGATCGTCAAAAGGGGTTGGGGCTATTAAGCCAGTAGGTCTGATTCAACATGCTTCTTGGACGAAATAGTGGGGGGACGTCAGCTTCTAGGTATAACAGTAGAGAATAGGATGCATGGCTATATCTTGCCTCGATGGCTATACAGATATGGGCCTTTCCACTTTTAGCAAGGCAGAGAACATATCGTATAAACTCTTGGAATCAACCATCTCTGGATTCGGGGACAGATTTCCTGCGAAGGATTGTAGTTTTTCTAACACAGTACAAGATCACCCCATCAGATGTGTTGAATCTCATTAACCAGTATTTGAAATCCCCTTCATCTATCAAACTAAGCTATCGTACGGCAGGGCTGTCTCAGATATTGGATTACGGGATTTTTTCACTGCAGAGGGTTTTATTCTATAGGTAATGGTAGCTGTTAGAAAGGCTAGGTGAACAGCAAGGCCTAGGCTTATGGAAACCGTTCGGGTATCATACCCTCATTGGCAGATCACAATTTCTCACTGGGGCTTTACATGGAGGAAAAGCGGAGTAAACGAAGGGTATTTCACGGGCCTCTTGTGTGATATTGCAAACAAGGTCATATGAAACAACCTAGAGTGGAAGACATACTTGTGTAACACGGGGAATAACCATCTATGATGAAAAAGCGGGGTGGTGTCTTATAGCATCTACCAGTGCACCTCTCTCCTAGATTGATGATTGGTTCAATGCTACCGGAAAGGGCCTACGCAAGTCTAGGATGAGCGGATGCCGCACAGGGCAATCCATACACTACTCCGGGAGGCAGTTTAATCCACTAGAGAAACACGGGATACCGGCCGTAGTGAAAGCGATTATGTAATGAAGGTTCTAGACAAAAGTGACTACGCCATAGAGAATCCAGAACCCGTCCAAGGCAAGAATATTGCCAAGCTTTGCTCTCACCGAAAATGTGAATTGAGGACCCCGGCGATAGCTCAGGGATATCCAGGGCGAGAAGTTCACTGGGATTTAGACCTTCTGGCTGTATCTGGGTTTCGACTAACGAGTGGCCCCATATGAAGCTTGGCACCGATTTTTAAAATTATTGATCACCGGTACCAGTGCATATCTAAAGCCAACCACTATTTTATGACTAGCTATCCTTGAAGCCGTTCCCCCATTTTAGTCTATCAACCTGAATTCTCTTACAAGAAGCCTATGGAAGATTTTCGTGCATCGATCAGAGCTCAATGGAGCTTCATTCTCGAGCCATACATCAACTGTCATTATGGTTTTCTGCACCGGGAATTTTTCCACATGCATCGGTAGCGATAGGGAGTTTTGCGGGGGCGCCAGTGCTGTACTTTAATTAGCCAGCTGTAGACGTGTGGATCTGCGGATATATACGAGTAGGGTAATTATAATCTAGGATATACGTTTCATATCCCGGCGGCAAGCTCTAACAACCCTCTCTTTCTGCTAGATCCCCAAAGTGGAGGTTTACCCCTGGATGGCCGTTCCTCTATTATGGGCTTTTGGAACCGAATTCAACTTTTTGGACTGACAAAGGCGGGGGTCTTTCGGGATTCTAAAGACCAATTGTGAACAGAATATCTTGGGATTTTGTATTATGGCATCCAAACCTGCCAGCCTTCTCCTAGGGGATTGTTTTCATTGCGGGGACCGACAGGGAACCTACTATTGGATATGGCTTATTTTCTGCTTTTTGGTCGAGAGGATTTGGGTTTCAGCAAAAATACACCTCTAGATTTTTTTTTTTTGATTTTTTTTCTTCTCTTCTCCCTTGAGAAAAAGTGATGTGCTAAAACTTGGCATAAAGTATTTCCCGAAAAAGCAAAAAAAAAAAGCAGTAGAGAATGAATGTGCCGTTCTTGTTAGACCGCGCACGGCACAAATAACTATGTGCTATCCAGTGTATTCGCTGAGTGCAGATGGAGTACAAAAAATCCCGCTTCCACTGGTGGATGCTCAGTGTTAGTCAGACTAGTTCATTTGTTTGTCATTGCCAACAAACAGAACTTTCAGGATACCTATGGCTCCGAACTGCTGTTTTCTTTTTCTTTTTTTCCCTTCCTCCTTTCCCCCCTTTTTTTTCTCGCTGGTCGGCGGCGTGTCCCAGTCTGCATATCTTAGTACGGGTTGTGGCTCGTCGAGGAACAGGGATTACTGCAGAGTAAACTCACCGAACTCGCAGCTGAGAGGATAGAAGCTATTCCGAAGCCTAGTACATTGCAGCCCCTCCCATAACAAAATTTACCAAGATTTTTTTGTGGACTTGTGTACGGTATGGTGCACTGCTGGATGTCAACGGCGGTGGTGTCGGTGCTGCGCTGGGAATTACCGGATACGATGCGGCGAACTTTCCGCCTTGACTTCGCTCCAGGTTACAGGACTGGGGTATCGGGAGTTTATTGTGGTTTTTTTTTACTGTGGCTTGAGCCCTAGATTATCCACCTTATCGTGGTGCATCATGCGCGATCACCGATGCTGGTATCAGGATTTCTTGGGGCCAGTGATGAATAATACCATGCCGCGACCGCGTGTACTCGAGTACTCGTACATTATCATACACAAATTAACCTTATGGGTTCTTAGGGTGTTGGCGTTTTTATCGTAACGATTGACGTCCTGGTAACTGCTTATCTCGGCGGAAATGTTCCAATGCGGAAATAGAGAACCAGGGTGATTCTGCAGTGTCTTCCACGAATGTCATTATCTCTCACTCGTATTACGGACCCACCCAATCAGTTCGGCCACCCATCCCAGGTGGATAAACCTTACAGTGTTTAATATCTGGTGCCGTTTTGCCACGTCCACCAATCAGCGCCTCATTGTTAATTAAATTCGTCCTCCCCCTTCGGTTGAACTACCGCAACTAGGTTTAGTAATATCGTAGCCCAACTCCCGAAGGTTGTTGGAGCTTTTTATTAAGTCTTGCTCGACTAGGGTGTTTCCCCAGACCGTATCAAATAATACCCTTGCCATTTTGCCCGTAAAAATTCGCCTTCACGACCCCGGAAAATCTTACAGCACTTACGAGTCAGGATGTATCCGGGTTAGATCTCTTCCAGAAAATGGCTGGTAGTTATCCGGTGATAACTTAGAACCCCGCGCAATTTGTTGGCTAGGTCAGGTCGCCCCCGTGGGGTGCTTTATGCTTGGAGTAGAAATACCCAATCTTAAAGCGCAAGCGAGTGAATACCCCGGCAGTGGGATCGGGGTGGTTAGAGGAACGGTAGTTTTCTGCCGGAGCACTAGTGTGACTCTAGACTTAGCACCAAGCTCTCAAGCACTAGTACTTACTCGAGTACAGAAACTGAAACCTACTGAGGCAGAACAAATGAGGCATCTATAATAATAGAGAAAGTGTGATAATATGCTCTAGGGTGGGTGTGGACCGTGCCGGGCGGTTAGGAACGGGGGAGGCCTGATGGGGTAGCAATTTGAGTAGGGGAGTTGAATCTCCAATATTTCTCATGCAAAAAATGTACCATACTTCTTTGTATATTCAATCATAGTAGAAAATTTGAGCTATCTTGCCCTTTATATCAATCTATTCTTACTTTCTCTTCCAAGGCAGAAATTAACTAGTCATCAACCTATATAAAATGACAGCTGATTCTCTCCATCATAGTAGTAGTCGAAAATTAACTTTAGAGTGTTAAAGGCCTTAGTAGCAGTCCAAATACCTTTCTGTCAACCTTCCTTTAGGGACTTAATTATAGCGGAAATGCATATCTCATGACTAGGATTATAGAACTTCTTGACTGTTGGTATCATGGTGCAATTTGATAGCCACTATGAGGTCCTTGAATGGGGTAAGCACCTTGGCACATTGCCTCACTTTAGTGTGATTTCACCATTCCGCTTCCAGGTGATGTCCTAGTTTCACGTAATTTACGTTAACACCTAAGATTCTAGCTCACAAGATGGTCTTCTCTCTCATCCTCGCCAGTTTCATATACCATTTATAAATTAGAACAAACACCAACCCTCACTCGACGAAATTATTGATTACTCGGACGACAAATCCTCTCAAGCAAAGTCGATATTACAGACGCCCAAATATTGTGATCAACCATAACAAGTTTTTCTGGAAACGGCCGAACTGCGCTTTGCTAGAAGGACGCGCTCCCTTTCCCTTCGGTAGCCTTTTCACCGAGATGGACGATTTCGCCACAATTTAATGTGAGAGGATGGCAGACACCGGAACGATATATTTTCCCAACCCCTTCTTCGAAACTGTCCCCTTTAGTGGACAACCCTAGGGCTCTGTAGCGGGTCATCACATGGCATCACTCGCTCATCTCACTCCAACCTGGAGTTCTTACATATATGGCTATGATACCCACAGAATAACACCACGAGCCGAGCCGAAGTGAAAGCTTTACCATTCCGTGACTCAAAACTGGGCTCTGAATCGGTCATACGGAACTTTTTGGCCCCGTCAGTGGAAACCGCCAACTTCTTCGGGACAGTCTTCGCTTATGGGAACGTCCAGCCATATTCTACCGTGTAGTTAACTCAGCTTTATTCCTTCGCGTTGGACTTCTAGCCCAGCCGTTGATCCTACCCAACGTCAAATACTTAATACTATATTTATCCCCAAATGCCCAGTGGGAGCGCAAAGGGCAAGACACCAGCTACCCCACGCACCATGTTGCACCAGCATCAATTCTCTCTATTGCCACCCTTCCGCAAATATCAAGAGAGGTAGCATGCACTGAACTCGTCTCAGCCAAGCATAGAAACCGACAGTATCTCGTCTCATCCGGCCCTTTCCTCAGGACTGAAACCAAGGCATGCTGTGATGTAGGACTGGGATTAAGAATCAATGCAATCTCGCCGCTCCCGAGAACAACACGATCAAACTCTTCCCACTCCCTAACAACTCTCCTCCATTCCTCATCTGTCCTTCCCATCTTTGCCCCCGCTGAACTCAGATATATAGTTGGATTCCCTGGATCCTCTCCGAGAACGAAATGATTGCTGAGGTTTTTGGGCGGGCTGATGGAGAGGAACCGCAGAGCAGGGAAAGTCACATATACCCCGTGTGAGTCTCTGGGCGCGTCGAGACCTTTCGCTGCCGCGATCTGTGTCGTTTGCTGGAGGAAGGAGAGGGGTGCCCAGCGGTATCCGTCCATTTGCAAGCGGGGGGCTATTCGGAATATTATTTCGGCAGGGACAGTGTCTATGAAGGAATAGAATATTGCCATGCGCTCCTCCGCATTGTCCGTTGCTACCACTTTCGATACGTCGTGGCCCAACACTGCGGTTAGGCAGATAGCCTCGTCAGATTGCCGACTAGTGGTTCGGTAGCGCAGAGCTCTGCTTAGAGTTGAGAACATGAAGGAAACAGATCCCGTCAGCGGCAAAGCTAACAAGAGGCTCCTGATAGCTGTTTCCGAGTGGCAAAGGCTTATGGGGTCCGCGCAGAGTGAGTGGAAGGTCACCGGTCCCTCGGAAAACTGAATCTGCAACTTCTCACAGTTGGGATGGAGATTGGACACCACGGCCTCCTGATAAGTCCACAAGCGGCGCATCCAGGCAGAGCAAAGTAGACGAGTCGCCTTCTCAATACGACTAGCGAAACCAGAGGCGCTCATCAAGTCCTTGTCCACAACCAAGACTTGATCCGCATTTCTGTATGTCTCCTCAAGACGCGCTATTGAGAGTTTCCGGAGCGGCTTGAGATGAGGCGCCACGGGAATGCAAAGAGTGTCCATCCATACCCCGAGCTCAGAGGTATTATCCATAGGGCCCATTGGGCGTATTCCACAGACCATCCGCTTGATCCTTGCGAGCTGGCAGCGGGGGAGACTGTTAGCTTGGGCGTTTCCTAGCCCCTGTGCCCACACATGTGAGATCGCGACGTAGGGTGCTGATGTTGTGACTTCAAGCTCGATATCCGGGCGATCATTATCGGCACCTAGCAAATTGATGGACACGATTGGTGTTTTCCCCTGCCCGATGACCTTTGCCACCTTTTCCACATCTATCGATATGTGTTCGCATCCCCGGCACCCCTCGAAATGTTGGGTCTGATACGTGCTCTCGTCAACGTGATTGGCAAAGCACTGTTGCATCGTGCAATTGCTGTGTGATTGCTGGCCAGAATGAGTCGGTAGTCGAAGCCTACTAGCATAGTATAACCCAGTGGTATCAAGCAGGGTATGCAGCATTTTCGTGGTACTAATACACCAGCCGGCACCCCGCATACGCTGTTCTAAAGGATTCCGAGCCCAAAAAAAGCCGACACCATGGAGCATTGACTGATCGTTTCCTGGAAGCGGCATCGCCAGCTTTGCTAGATTCAGGAGGGATTCCCCAAGGACCAAGATACTAAGCACAGTATCCAGCGACAGGGCCTCTGACAGCCTCCAAGTTCCAGAGGAAAGAGTGTCCGAATATCTCCGAATAGTCGAATCAACGCGCCTCAATATTTTGGAAATATCGGTGAGTGGGGAATCCCCGGGAATCCTACTTCCTGCCCTCTCGCGCTGGGTGCAATCCGCAAAGTACCTTCGTAGCGGATAAGTGGTTATGCATCGTCTCGTTCCGTCCCCATCTCGAACCACAAAATCCTCCAGATCTACCTCGACGTTCAAAAGTCGTAAGACCTCATACATCATGCCGAAGAATAGCCATGACTGCAGAAAAGCTCCTTTATCTGCAGCGGAGGGAACCTCGTCCCTGTTGATCCTCTGTGGACCGGAGCTTTCCGCAAAGTCGATATACCACCCCCGTCGAGTGGGAAAATCGAAAAAACCCTCTTTATCATAACTGTTGGGCTCGCAGAGGGAGGGGATCTCGGGCAGGGGGGTGCCGGGCTGTAGGACATCTGGGAGGTTCCATCGTAGGTGATGGCCGAGCTGGACAGCCATAATATTTATTTAATGGTGCGCTAATGACTGAGATCCGGGGTTGACTGGATGCAGTTTAAGAGATGAATCAACCTGTAAGGATAGAATGTGGAGGACACTTGATAAAAACGGTTTCACAAGGTTTAGGACCCCGCAGTCCCCGCACTTTTTCAGAGGGAACAAACTACTACTGAGAACTGATAGGTCATTTACGTTAAATCTTGCTACGGTGCGGAAATCTCCCGCATTGAGGTACAAATACAGTATATAGAGTTCAGGTAGATCGTAAAATTAACGATAGCCAAACGGTTATTTTTCTTCAGAGTCTTTCGCCCTTGCACTATCATGAACTTCCTTCCAATATGCCTCCTCGTCAGGCCGTAGACCACCGGGGAAAAAGACATCAACAAGCGCCCTGCCAACATAAGGGTACTTGCTCTCAGTTGTCTTCAATGCTTCCATCACCTTCTTCTCGACAATCACCTCTTTGAACCGGAGGTGAATTCCAAAAGCGCTCGGGTTTCGTGGGGCACCACAGACAGTGATATTCTGTATCATCCCAAGAACACCTACCGCTAATAAGAACCAGGTATTGTTTTTCAGTCCAGAAACTGCGATCAAGAGGGCAATCCAAAGTGCCGCCATGAAACTCGCCCAGTATCGAGTATGAGGCAAATCAACCCCCCGCCCCCCAGCCAAATCCTCCAAATCCAACCCGACCCCGCCGCCAATAATGACGATACAATCCTTGTGCCCATTCCCCCTCGTCAGGACAGCCGTCTTCTTTGTGCGTCTCCGACAAGCCCACCTCTCCTCCCTCCACTGTGGGAAAGCACCGCTCCCCAATGCCAAACATATGCCGCAAGCTGTCGTGAAAAAGACGGACCAATCTTCCAGCAAAATCCACGGAATAGTCGAAACAGCCAGTTGCAGAATAGCGCATACAAGGCCGCTATACCACACCCAATCTCTATCGGGCACCCCAGCAACCTTCTTAGGATCCGCCTCGTACACAGCAACGCAAAGAGCAATCCTCTCCCCCCTCGCTACCATCCCCCCCTCAGCCTCTCTCACCTCCCTTCCCCGCCAGTACGAGAAATCCCTCATCAGCCGTCCGAGTATCCACGAGCTGTTCTGCCGTGTGTATCGCGAGCGAACGTTTACGACTTGGCCGGAGCAGTCGGACACCGGCAGGAGCTTATTCTCGCCGACAACTGCCAGAAGCGCGCTTATGCTGTATGTCACCCATCCGAAGGAGAACGCCACGGGCGTTATCAGACCGCCTCCTGCGAGCTGGGCCAGAGCTCGCTGAATCACGTCCCCGCCTAGGATGAGAAGAAGTGACATTATGTCGTTGGGTTGGGTCCATTGGGATCGGAATGCCTGTAGCGGGTAGTCACCCGGGGGCGTGGCAGTGGAGGAAATTTGTGGCATTTTTGTTGTGGGAGTGATGCTGCGAGGGATGATCATGAATGGTCGACGTCCAACGGTGTATATTACTGGGGGGGCGAGTTGGCGGATCGGTAGAGGGCCTATACTTGTAACTGTGTTAGAATTACCGTATTATCGTACGGCACCGGTAGGCGAGGTTTGGGAGGGTTTAGAGAAGTGTGAATAGAGCTATTATGGTTAACAAACTTAACGTGCGGTGATTTTTGCTTTCTTGGACATCTACCAACTCTGCTCTCCCTAAAGTGTGCGCCCAGGGAGGGTCAGCAGTTTTTGAGTAGAACCCCGAAGCACAAGAGGCTGTGAACCCTCCTGGAGGACAACTGGCATAAGAACGCCCACCTGTTTTGCCGGTATGATACGTTCACTGGAACGATCTCCCCACTCCTGGAAACGGGGCCCTGTGCTACGGTCAGTTCATAGGGTACTATACTTGAAATAAGTCAGGTTAGAAGAGCTCGCGCGGTAAACAGGAGATTTCCATGTGAGCGATATACCCTAGGTAAACCTAATACGACCAACAGGTTTTCACCGAGATAGCGAGCCATATGCAGGTTTGAGCAATGCAATACTCGAGTACCTGTACTGGTAGGTTGATCTTCAGTCAAAGTTAAAAGCCGCAGCGAGCATTTGGGTATATCACCCACAATAACGGGCGATCGCTATCCAGGGTTCGGCCCATTAAAGTGAGGAGTATGATACCATAAAAACTGGTATAAATCGATCATGTGCCAGGAAGTCCAAAATTTCCTCCTTTGGAAAAGTCAGGAAACGTACCAAAAAACATCCCTTCCGGGACAAATAAAAAAGGAAACCAAGCGCCAGGCACTACTAGGAGAGGCAATTCCAACGTCCTAGCTCAAGCTCTGATTACCTGAGTTCTTATGGTACAAGTACAGTAGGGGTCTGTACCGGTGCTTTAACGAGCAATTTGAATCATATGAATGACCTCGTGAGATACCGTGCCTTTTCCCGTAAGCCGGATTGGTGTTGTTGCCGTGGAAAAAGTCCACACTGCGCCGAATTTTGAGAAGAACCAGTGTCAGGCTAAAGCTTTTTGGCTTTGCACTGCACTGCGCTCCTGTGGTACGAGGACAAGTATTGTGAGGACCCCGCTGCTTCTCAATCCAGATATCCTATCCCAGTCGTCGAGAAATCCACCCGGTCGAGAGGATATCCTTTTGGTCAACCAGCTACCCCTTTGACTAAGCAGGCCACAGGGAATTTTGTAGAGAAGGATGAATTTCATCGTGCAAAGGTTGGCTGGGAATATTGTCCTCCTGTTTGGGGAATGACCGGAATATATTTGGAATCAGAGAAACACCACCCCCACCCTTTCCCCAAGTCTTTCCTTCCCCCTTGCTCCGCATTCCCCTCCCCCCTCCACCATCGTCGTCCACAGTAAGTATCGGCTTCAAGGCATTAATGACGTTTTCCTCATGCACTATCACTTGCTCATAGCGTTCCTTTATACCTTGGTATCCCACCCGCCAAGTTACCCCCCTTGGCCACTAAGGTCAGGATCCGCGTCGCCACCGGAATATCCCATTCAGATGATACAAGTACGGTAGCCATGATGCTTGAAGACAAAGGCAAAAACACATTGCCGTATTCTTCGCCCCAGATCAACCCCCGTGATAACGTATGCGAAGATGCTCCAACCCACTTGCACTCGAATCAAGCAATGAACCACAGAGCCGCGTTCCCAGCTGTCAAAGCGGAATAACTTGACCCGAGCGCAAGTACTAGCATTGTATATACTGTACTCGTACTCGAGCACCCCAGGGATCCCTAACCCAAACACCATGTCCCCGTGCCCGTCGAGCTGGTGTAAATTGCTTATGGTAAAGCATGTAAATTTATGATACCCCACCAAGCCTGTTGCATTGCATACAGGTAGTGCTTGTATCTGCAAGGGCAAAGGGTTATAAATAGACAGAACGTCTTCTGAAGACCAGAAGTTCCATTCTCCAGCCCGCTATGGTAAATTTCTGTCCACAACTCCCAAGTTCAATCTATCATAAATACCGTTCCATCAACACCGCAGCACAGGGCTTCACCGCTTCTATCGGTATGCCAACGTCAGTTTCCTGCACCTCTACTAATACCACTTTCATGTTCCTGTTCCTGTTGACCAGAACTGAGGCTGCCACTCGAGGATCTGAAGCCCTGTTAATCACATCGGGTGATTCTCTTTGATTGAATTCCCTGACTTTTATCAAGCCCCACCTTAACTTGACCTCTCGACGCCTGGTCCAACTATTCCAGTTTATACAGTATCCATAGCTAATGTAGTTTCAGCCGACGGAGGGCGCCATGGCGCTACAGGGGCCTACGCGACTGGCTCGCCACCTAAATTCAACTTTCCAAAAGCAGTCACCGTGATGAGCCAACTCTTCCCCTCCTATCGGGCTATGATATTGGCCAGAAATCTAGTCAAGGGTTACTTCTGAATGCATCGATAATGATATAAAGACGTGATGATTGCCCCAACCACCCTTCCTACCCCCATCCTCCACGGTTCTGCCCAGTCCGGCCATTATTAGCGATCCCCTTATTCTCTCCTTCCAATCTCAAGGGCTCTTCTTCTGTCCTTTCTCACCGATGGTTAAGTTATCTTCCTTCATCAGCCTTTTCGGGCTCGCTACTTCGGTGCTGGCCGCCGACAGTGAAGCTTGGAAGACGAGGTCTATCTACTTTGTAAGCTTTCCCCAAAATATCTTTCACCGGTTATCTTTCCATCCTTTGGGAGCGATCCTCTCGCAAACGTCGCAGCCGCAGGAAGCCAGGAGCATGGGCAATTGGGGAGTTTTTGTTTTTTTCTGTTCTTTCTTTGACCGCAATTTTAACCACTTGGGCTGTGGTTGGTTACTAGGTTCTTACCGATAGATTCGCGAGGACTGATGGCGGCACAAATGCCTGTTCAAACTTGGGCAATTACTGTGGTGGGACGTGGAAGGGGATGCAAAACCAGCTAGGCTACATCCAGAGACTCGGGTTCGATGCCATCTGGATCACCCCAATCGTCAGCGGTATGCACCCATTCCACCCCAGCGGAAATTAAAAATCAAGACACAATTGAGATAATTGGAATGTGGTACCGTACCGTACAACTGAATATTCACAGCTAACGGTGATTATCCCTGTTATCACAGACACTGACGGCGGTTACCACGGCTACTGGGCCAAAGACATCTACTCCGTCAACACGAATTACGGTTCCGCAGACGATCTCAAATCCCTCATCAGGGCGGCCCATGCAAAGGGAATGTACGTAATGGTGGACATCGTAGCCAATCACATGGGTGCGGGGGACATCACGACCTTCAATCCTTTCAACACAAGCTCCTACTACCACAGCAGCTGCAGCATCGAAGACTACAACGATCAAGCGGAGGTAGAGCAGTGCCAGATCGCGGGACTCCCGGACCTCAAGACGGAGGACAGCACGGTGCGCAACCTGCTCTACGACTGGATCAGGAACCTAGTGTCCGAGTACTCCTTCGACGGACTACGCCTGGACACGGTGAAGCACGTGGAGAAGGACTTCTGGTCCGGATTCACCAGTGCTGGCGGCGTGCACTCCATGGGGGAAGTTTTCAATGGCGACCCGGCTTACGTCGGCCCTTACCAGTATTACATGTCCGCGGTCGTCAACTTCCCCATGTACTACTCCATCAACGACTGCTACGCGCGCAAATACGGTTTCTCGAACCTCGTCAGTCAGCACGACAAGGTCGGCTCCGCCTTCCCCCGTCCGGAGCTCCTGGGAACATTCTTGGACAACCATGACGTTCAGCGCTTCCTGAGCATCAACAGTGATTGGACCCTTCTCAAGAACGCTCTCGCCTACACAATGCTCGCCCGCGGTGTCCCAATCTTGTACGGTGGCACGGAACAAGCGTACGGTGGTGGGAACGACCCCGCTAACAGGGAAGATCTCTGGAGGAGCGGGTACAATACTGATGGCGACATCTACACCTTCATCCAGAGACTTATGGCGGTGAAGAGGGCTTCCGGTGGACTGGGTGGTAATGACCATGTTCATTTGTACACCACCGATGACTGCTATGCTTTTAGCAGGGCTGGCGGCGATGTTGTAGTCGTCACTACCAATGGTGGGAGTGGCACCAACAGAACTTACTGCTTCAACACGCCAAAGACGCAGGGGACTATATACACCAGTGGTCTCGGGTCGGCTGCTTACACTGTTGGCACTAATGGCGAGATCTGTGTGTCCATTTCGAATGGGCAGCCAGAGGTCCTTTTGTCTTTATGTCTGCCTTCCCCCTATCTTTCCTTATCACGCACACGAACACTGACTGTCCCAGAATACTCGTCCAAAATAGCGGCACGACCAACGGGAAAGGCACCCTCCTTCTTAATCTCTTCGCTTAATGTATGATATCAGTTATGGCACAAGCTCGATCTTTGGGCATAAATGGAGCTTGAGCGGGCTAGAATTGGTAGGTATCAATTCGAGTATTTAGAAAATGAAAAATTAGAATAATATAAATGTACAGTCAATACATCATACAAAGCCGAGCCTGTTAGTCCCCTTCTAAAATCCAAACTCGAGAATAAATAGATTAGGGCTCCCTACAGCGCTCTAACAACACCGCACGCTATGTCGTAAACAGCCGATACCGTAGCGCGGACTGCAGCCGTAAGATGCGATACAGGGAAAAACGACACCTCCCTCTGTAAAACTTTGATGCCGGGTAAGTTAATAGCGCTGTTTACCATAGGGGATTCATGTCGCGGAGAGTGCTGATACGTTAAGTTTCCTTATACAGCAACAAGCTGATTCCAGACCGCCTAGCCACGGGGATTAATTCCTGGATAGCTAGACAAAAGACCCAAAGGCGGGCTTTGGCAGCATAAAACTTGAGGAAGATTGTGCGCAGGAGGGCACTGCAGAGGAAGAGCCAAGCTGGGTCCACGACATCCCTATCCGCTACAGGGGGCTAATCGCATGTTTGAAAACCAAAACTGGAGTTTTCCTTTCCTCCTCTATCTGCTCCTTGTTACCCCCCTCCCCTCCCTCCCTCCCTCTCTTTTTTTACATACCTATTGAGAGGCAGGGTGCTTTTCCAAGCTGACCCGACTAATATCCAGGTATCGTATGCATGTATTGGTATCGCACTCCGTGCGCGGTAAACTCACCTCTAGAAATGTTGTAAAACCAGGAATGAATATCGACAAGTAATAGAGGAATAATGAATAGACGAAAGATTGCTTGTTCTTGGTAATACCTAAGACACACCACCTCTATATAATACAGTAACTCCATAGTCTGGTTGTCCGTATTCAGGACACCACCAATCTCTAAACAACAGCCCCTTACTAGTCCCCTAACTTAAGGGTTAAGTATCATCCAGCTTCACGCTAAGTGTCCTCTAGCTTGATACTAGTTTCATATCCACATATTCCGACACATATTTCAACAAGAAACTCCACTGTCCAACGAGTGACCAACCGTGACCACATATTAGTGACAGGTGAGAGTGTAACGGGAAGAAGCCAAAAGCGTGAAAGCACAACGCAGGATTCAGCTGCACCCTCCCGCACGCACAGAATAAGAACCCACCTCTGCCACTCGAACCCGCGTACCGTCCCGCTGGGCTCTCCGGGCATGGAGTTTGGCGGTAACTAAAGGATTGCCTCGGAGGGGCACTCGTTCGTAAGGGTGTGCCAGATCTCGGGAGCTTTTGGATCTAACACCCAACCCAGCGTTTCCCCCCACAGTCTTGAAATCCGGAGATTGGCGTAAAGGAAGATGACACACCATTCGACACGACATGACACGGTGATGCTACGAGTGCAAGGGGTTGCCATTATACCACCGTCGTCGGGATGCCAGAGGATAGCAAAAAAAAAAAAAGGGTACGATGACTTACCGCTTAGTGTATTAGCAACCCAACATGTCTGGCCCTTTTCCGTGATGATGAGGGGAATAATCCCGAATACCACCCCTCTTGCCGGCCAAACGTTGGAACTGGTAACATAGTTAGTCAGGGCTAGAAGTCGGCACGACTACGATAAATACCAGTCATCTGGATCATGAGGGTTTGTCAGTGAGGAGGTTACGATATGAAGATGATCTCGCGAAACCAGATGCTGGAATCCACGGTATGTTAAGTGCACTACTGTACTACCGGGATACGGTACCATACCACGTGAGCCAAACAAAGTATGGTTACCAATAACAAGAACATAGCCAGCCCTACCGGTACGAGCATACCCGGTATTCCTATTGTAGGACGGTACCGGTACTGTGCAGCAGAGTCCGGCACATCGGAATAGAATCACACCTTTTCCGGACCAAATATAGATGAAACGACCACGCTACCGGCTTCGCCCAATTGCCAAAGTTGAAAATACCCCAAGATATAATGTATCGAATATCATACCAGACCTGTCTTCTGATCCTTCATCCGCGCAGCTCTCGCCCCCACACAAAGCACACATGGATAAATCTACATATCTTAGCCAAGATTCCATGTTCGCACATCCGAATACAGGACCGTACCGGGGCTTAACACGTTAATCCCCTCTTGAACGCCGGTGAGCAAGCAAGCAAGCACATCCCCAGTGCTGGCACTAAATAGTCTAGCACCAGAGTAGTTTACAAATCCCACTACGCCTTATTAACACCCCCCCCACCCGCGCGCCTTCTCCGAATATATTACCACCCCTCTCCAAGCTATCACACGCATACCCACACGACCAAACATCATGAAAGTAGCAATGGAAGAAATCATGGCCGGATAAGACAGGTGGGCCTCCACTGCGGTCAGGGCTCCCACGGTATGGTATGATCCCCTAGTCCCAGTACCCACTCTTGTCCTTTTGCACTTTCCGGACGGGCTGAGTCCATAGGAGTGGAACGAATGCATGGAGGAATGCCTGGCTTGTGGGTTTTACGCTTTGCACTTTGGCTCCTGGGCAGAGGGGGATTCCTGGTTTCCGGCAAATAGTTTCCACGAAGATGGAATGCAAAGATAGCACGTCCAGCGGGTTCTAGGAGATGGTTCGGTGGTAATTACGGGGGTATGTTCTAATAATTCTTTAAAAGGGAATACGAAGGGGAGAGGATTATACATGGGCGAAGGTTATGTAAGGGATATTTCAGCCCGTAGGGTATTGTATGTCAGTATGGTTACGTCCCCGGTGGGGTGTCTGTGCTGCCCAAACACAACGCAATAAAAGAGGTGTAAAAAAAACACAATTTATATATAAGGAAAAAAGAGGAAGGGAAGCAGAAATTCTCATCAAGCAAGCTAAAAAAAAAAGGGAAGGGGGAGAGAGAGAGAAGCCTATGCCATGCCTTGTCAATTCCTATCTTGTACTACCTGCATACCTGCTCCCGTAGACCGCCCCACTTCTCCACACTAACTAAACCATCAGCCTACTGCTCCAGCCTCGCCCCCCCCCCTACCCAGAACCTGCCAGCAGAAAATCACCAGCACAAAAGAATAATATAGCCCACAGGCCATTCTGCAAACCAACTCTTCAGGCGAAAGCCCCACTTCCTTCACTGCCATGACTCCTTCCCCTCCCGCATTCTCCTTCTCCCGCGAATCAACAACCCTCCCATCCTCAACATACACCTCCTCCCACCCCACACTTGCCACACTCCGTGAATGGTCAATAAACTTCTTCTCGTCCCGGCCGATCTTGCCCGGATATTCCGGATCCGCGCAGGCAATTAGTACATCCTCGAAAGAGCGGCAGAGGATTTCCACCTGCCCATCGAAGTCCGCGATTTTCCAGCCACGGGATGCGGCCATGGGGGTCACGAGGGCGCGGGTTTTGGTTGTTGCGTGGTACTATTAATTGTCAGCTACTTTAGGGAGGCGGGGGAGTGAGGTGTTACCTGGGCGTATTTCAGAATCCCATGGCGAACCAGCCAGGAACTTGCCAGCACAGCGTGCTTCTCGCTCCAGTACTTGTGGAATTCTTCTTCCGTAACAGCAGGGTTTCGGTATTGCTGGATGGTGAATTTCACGACTTCTTCTTTTTTGGCTTTTCCCGACATTACCTGCTCAAGGAGTGGTTGGCCTGATATTTGTTTCAACCACGGTAGCCTCTCTCCGCGGTGAGGGAAAGCGAAAAGAGAGAAATATTCTACCCAAGTAGAGCAGAGTAGGGTAGCGTAAATTCCGTAGCCGCCGCAAGGCAGACAAATCTATCCTAGCAGGAAACCTCCGCCACCGGAGGTGACTGACCGTGAGGTGCGGGGGGTGCTATGCCTTTGTGGTTGGGCGGGCCAACGTTTTCCGAGCAGACCCGAAAATAACCTAAACCCTATGAATAACGGAAGATGGGAAGGGAGTAAAAGCAAAAGTGGGGATAGAGGGAGAGAGGAGGGGAAGAGCTCGGTAAAAGTACTAGAGGCAGCTAAGGTTCAAGGAGGGGGAAGAGAATCGTGGTTCGCTTAATTCCTGTAAGGGTTTTTGGTCGGCGCATGGCGGTTCATGGTATCACACCGGTATGTAAGGGAGAGGGTGAGAATGGGGTAGACTAGAGGGGTGAAGGGAAGGGAGGAGAGGGGGGGGGAGGGGAATGGAAGGTGAAGAAGGAGAAACGGTTTGTGCATAACTTAATAGAGAGTTTGCGCAGTGAGACCTAGCAGTGTTAATATAAGTTAATGACAAGGCTTGGCCACCTGGATCTTTAGTCCCACCTGGTCAAGGGGTAAAACCCAGAAATCGGACCTGGAATTGAGGGCCCACTTCCACTGCACTTTTATGCCTCCATTCAGGTATGATTTTTTAGCCATTCTTCTCAAGGACAATCCTGACAAGAGCAGCTTCAAGAAAGTTAAGAATTGGCTAGTGGATTGACCTCTTTAAACGATGGAATTTAAGAAACTCAACAATCCCCGGAAGTCTGATGGGTCGTTAATGGGAGTTGCAACCCTTACATTCCCGGTTATATCCACGGTAGTTGTTCTCTCGGCAGAGCCCGGAAACACCCTTCCCTGTTCCCCTACTGTACTCGTACTTACCCACTCCTAGAAACACAGAGTCTCGAGATCTGATAGCAAGCAGGTGCACATGTAACGCCATCCCGGCACATCAAGCTAAATTATAACTTGTTATCATAGCAGAACAACTTATTCCGGTCCTTCCAAGGTCACCCCCAATCACTCGGTAAACTTCCCTCGCACCCCACCTCCTCACCAACCAAACCCAAATCAAGAACAAATTATACAGGTGGAAAAAAAAAATGCCCACCCTCGGAGCCGCTATAACAGTATTGACTAGCCGACACGTTTCCAAATTTCCACACCCCGGCACGATTAGCAATTAACTAAACCAAGTTAAACCCTGTCTTCTCCCCCACCGGTAAAGCCGTATATAATATTGCATCCATTCGATCCACCAGATTCCCCTCCCCGGACGTGTCGCACTTGCACTCGCACCGTACGGTATCATACTGGACAGAACATCCGTCACCTGTGCCGGACCGGATCGTGAGCAGGCAAGCAGGTTGTGGATACCTAACGCAGTCCGTATTTATACAGTATTCGGTAATACGTATTGTGCGGGTATGAAGTGTAGATCTGGGATATGGTAGGAAACTATCATGCGGGCCTGGTGTGATGGGGGGTTTACCTGGTCTTACGGATGGGTGAGACTGGTTGATAACTGTCCGGGATCCCGGATGGAGCGTAGCATAGGGTGATAAGGATGTATACTGCAGTAGGGGGAAGAACCCACCTCCCCTCGTAAATTCACGTATTTCCGGGTGTTCACGGATATCCATGGACTTGCTCACTCGGGAATACGTTGCGGTAGAGGGTTGTGGTTCAGATGAAGGAATGCTTGGGAGAGAGGGTAATAATAACAGCATCAATTATTCACAAAACAACCCTATCCAAAAAAAAAGGAGCAAAAAGCGGGAAAAGTAAAAAGCAAAAAAGCAAAGCACCGGGCCAATGCATCCCTAATTACACAAAAAGTTAAAGATACAATAAACAATGCAAGCCAGGCTGTTTTCTAATTTCCAAATCCAATCGTGAAGACTTTTTTTTTGGTGATGATATCGCACGTGCTATCGGTGGTGGAAGAAAGGGCTTAAGCGTTACGAGCCATATGTTCGCCCGAGAAGCGAATGGAACGCTTGATCTTGATAGCCTTCATCCTGTCGTTCGCACAGTTGGTTCCAGGAGCAATCTTGCCCATGTTATGGTTGACCCCGCTCCCGCACTGGCTCCATGTTCCATCGGCATTGCATGTGATGGCGCCCTCGACGCAAGTTCCGCCGGTGGGGGGTTGCGGGTATGGAGAGGGAGCGGTGGATGGGGCCGGGGCAGATGTCTTGGGTGTTCCTGTGGGTGCGGAGGTGCTAGCGGCATTTGGGGATGAGGCAGTTGGCACAGGAGGGGTGGCCCGTGGGGCGCTGCTGGAGGAGGGGCTCGGGTTGGGGTTGTTGCCCCCTGGCCCGCCGGCGACCTTGGACGGTGAGCTGCCAGTTGGCGCGGACGGTGTGCCAGTAATTGGCGCAGAGGACGACGGCCCGCCAGTCGGCGCGGACGGCGTGCCGGTAATTGGCGCAGAGGACGACGGCCCGCCAGTCGGCGCGGACGGCTTGCCAGTAGTTGGCGCGGAGGACGGCAAGCCGCCAGTTGGCGCGGAGGGTGTGCCCGTAACCTGCGCGGAGGACGGTGAGCCACCAGATGGCGGTGAGCCGCCAGCAGGGGGCTGCGAGCCAGTTGCGCCGCAACCACTCCCGGTCGGTGGGGCACCTCCTGAGCCCTCGACGTCCTCGCCCGGGTCGGGGAATGCGACGTCGCTGCCTTCTACGGTGGTGCAGTCATTTCCAATGTTCGCTGTGAACATGTCTGGATGCGCGGACAATCCGGATCCGCCGCCAGTGATGGTGACGGCTGCGCAGTTCATGTACATTTCTCTATTGCCCTGGTTGTTGAACCACGACCTAATTGCTCTGTTAACTCTAGCGCCTCGAGAGAGATATGAAGGATCGGATAGCTTACCAGGAGAAAATAGCGGCACCACTTTTGGCCTCCTTGGGAACAGTGAAGCTAGCGTCCTTGAGCGGGCATCCCCCAACATAGGACTTCATGACCTTCCAGGTAACCCCTTCATCCTCAGACAACGAAGCCTGGCAAGATCCACCGCCATGTGTTGCTTGTCCCTCAAAGCTCATGACCTGGGTGCTTCCGGCTGGCCAATCGACGAGCGGCTGAGTTCCCTGCGCATCTTTGTGGTAGCCCTTGCAAGGGAAGTTGCTGCCAGACTTGTCGAGAGGAGCCGTCATGTCGAAGTCCTGCTGCGCTGCATTCTGGGGTGCCCCAGTCGAAGCCCTGAATGGAACCGGTGACTTGAGCTTGACGTGGGCATTCGCCGAACCCAAGAGCAAAGCAGCGGCCAAGGCCAAGGCAGAGAATGAAGTCTTCATATTGAAGGATAAGATTTGAAAAACACTCCGTTAAAGAAGGAGTTGGCTGCTGTGGGGGGTCTTATTTTTATCTTTTCCACTGAAAAAAAAAGATAATGAACGTATGAACGATTGTTCGAAGGATTCCCTATTTCCCGTGAATGAAAAAAAAAAAAAAAGAGGCCGCGGACCTCTGGAAAGAATGTGCGAAAATGGGGAGAAAGAAAATAAAGGAATGAAGGTAGCCTGTACCGGTGCTAATGCTTTTCTGTGGAGAGGGGTGGTGAGTGAGGAAAAGAGACTCTCTCCGGTGGGCGAACAGAATATCTTATATATCGTGAGTGACCTCCTCGAAAGTACCTATTAATCCCTAGTCCCCTCCTCCCCTCGTTGTTCTGCCTCTTTGCTTTCTTTTTTCTGGTCTCTGCTTACCTACCCGGTTTGGGATTTCACTAATAGGTACAGAGAGACAAGCCCCGCCAATCACCCCTACTTTCCATACCATGAGTGACAAGCCAGTAAGGCTGTAGTTGGTAAGTGAGATTAGGGCAAGGCCGCCACTAAGCAATGCTCCGCTGCGATAGGCTCCATCCCCATAGAGCAATCAGATTTGGTGAAACACCTTCGTTTCGTCAATCGAGCCCTAGAGTAAACTTCGACCACTCGAGGACCCGAGGCCAAGGATCAGTCCTGTTTGAACAACCGCCTGCTCAACAGGGTATACAGCTGCGGCGTGACACGAAAAGCCAGCAAGAACCAGTCATCATAACCACGGCAGGGACGATAAATGAAGAAACAGGTCGAGTCCCGCACGCCATGCTGATTATCCGAGTATCATATGTTAGCCCATATCGCACAAGCGAAGGCCGCTCAACCCCTCTCGAGTTTGCCATCCCCCTATGATCGACATGCAAGGGACCAACCCAACCAAATCAACGGAAGGCGAGAAAGGAAAGAAAAAGAAAAAGAAAAAGCATCAGCCGCTCAAAGGTGCAGAATAGGGTACTACCCGAGCACCGTACCGTACGAGTAGAACGAGGTTGGACAGTCAACTTACAATGTTACCCCTGAACGAGCAGCGGAGGAGGATACAGTAAGAAAGAAGAAAAAAATGGCCATCGGAAAAACGGCTTCCATGGTCGACCTGGTGTAACGGCTCGCGAGGCGCGAAGCCACACAGAGGCGCTGAGTGGACAAGACGGTGAGTTGTGTGTATGCAGGAGTACCGTACTCGAGTACTCGTACTGTACAAGTACCGTACTGTACCCAGCTGTCGCTACCGCCCTTTCCTGCAAGCCTTTCTGCCGGGGAGGAAGAGGAGCTGATGTTACAGCTGAAAATACACACTTTCCCATACTCCTTTATGATTCGCCCCTAGCCCAATACGGTAACCGGTACCTGAGTGTCCCCCTGGCGGGACTACAGTATTAAAAAAAATTCCCCGCTCTGCTACCGTGCCCCTGATCTACTTTTGGAAGGCTCTGGACGGGAGCGGCAGCGGCTCAGGTGCTCGTACTGTGCTCAAGTGCCGCGGAGGGTGAAATGGCCATCCCATCGAGCCAGATCCTCGGCTCCGGCTCGCATGATTGTGAAAAGATTGAGCTCATCCTTTATTTCCCGTGATGCTGCTAGCACACAGTAAGAGTACCGGTAGAGGTTCGAGTATTGATGAGAGGAGGAAAGGTAATCTCGCTAGACGGACAAACTTCCAATGCCATTAGCAAAAGTAAGAAAGGCTAATTGAACTGCACTTTCCTCCCACTCGCTCGATCCAAGCTCCAAAGTGTACTCTGGTCAAATTCAACGTGCTCCCGCCCGTTGTTGTTTCAAGCTCGCCGCATTCAGAGGATGGAGGATAAGAGCTATCTAGCTAGAGCTAATCCAATGGTGACGAGAACTACTCATGCAGTCCGTACCGGTACGCGTGCAACGCACTTCCAACCCGGTTCGTCAATCATTCGTAGGCGCCCAGGTTCACCCATGCGAGAGTCTTCCTTCCTCCCGCCTCATCTGTTACAGCGAGAGAACGAACGAACAAACCAGAACAAATCCTCCTCCTCGCCCAACGCTACGGTGGGGGAGTGGGAAAGAATAGCAGTGGGTAAATATAAAAATCCCCGTCCGGATCGCCAATCCGTTTCAAAAATTCACCTACGCGAACGGGCCATTAATAGGTAATACGGCTAGCACAGTATTATATCCTATAACACACATCCAGTCAATCCCTCCGGCACCGGCAGTGAAAAAATCTCCAACCAGTCCCGTCTTGTCTTGTCTCGACTCTTCGCCTCCGTACACAATTATACATTCCCTATTTCCCGGCTACCTGCTCGCAGGGCGCATCGAAGAGCGCCGTCCCCCGGTTCCCGGTCCCAGAGTAGGAGCTTGATCTGTGCACTAGATTAGATTACGGTATCGTATTGTAAT